AGAAGACCCCCCCCCCACCCCCTCTTTAAAGAAAATTTTGTCTAATCTTATTAATTGCGTTGATAAACCATGACCTTGATAAGCCAAAAAGGGAATTTAAAAAAGACAGAAAGTACAGAGGTAGATATGTAAGAACAGAGTTAATAAAGGTTAATCTGCTTCCAATGATTAAATGTCTACTTTTCCACATGGATAATTTTTTATAAAGATTATCAATAAGTGATTGCCAATCTTGTCTAGAGGGAGAAATTTTTTTTTGAGAGGCAAACCTAGGTATTTAAAAGGAGGCTTTTCCAAAGAATAGTTAAGAGTTTTAGAAAAAAGAGGACCTTTGATAGAGGATTTTCCAAGATAAAATAAGCTCATTTCAACATAGTTTATGTCCAAGCCGGAGATGTCTTCCAAGAGATAAAAGATACTTGATGACTGAGCTATCATTGCAGGTAGCTTTGTAAAACACTAGGGTGTCATCAGCAGGTTGAAGAGATCTAATATTGTTAAGATCACCCTTGAGATGCAGCTCAGAGAGGTCCCCGGAGAAAACACTAGAAACTAGCATTTTGTTGAGCACGTCAGTTGCTAAAATAAAAAGCAAAGGGAATAGGAGATCACCTTGCTAAAGACCTCTAGAATAGTTAAGGATTTTAGAAGGGGCATCACTAACAAGAATCGATGCTTTAGAGGAAGAAAGAACGTGTTTAATCCAATGACATCATCTAGGATCAAAACCCCTTGCTTGCAAAAGATTAAGAATGAAGGACCAACTTACATAGTCAAATGCTTTCATAAAATCAATTTTAATCATACAAACCTCTTTACTTCTGGAGGAGCAGATTCATGAGCAACAAGAAAAGAGTCTAGAGTAAATTTACTAGACTAAAAAGTTGATTAAGAAGAATCAACTAGACTAGAGATAAGAGAGGCTAATCTGTCAGCAAAGGCTTTTGTAAAGATTTTGAACAGACCATTAAGATGGCTAATGCGTTTGAAATCTTTGACTTTGCTTGCTTCATCTCTTTTGGAGATAAGGGCAATGAAAGAGAAGTTGATTCTGTGGAGGGAGGATAATCAGAGTAAAAAGAGTCAAAGACTGTAAGGAGATCACACTTAATGGAATCTCAAAACTGCTGATAGAATGTAAAAGAAAAACCATCAGGGCCTAGAAATTTGTGTAGATTTAAGCCAAAAACGGCAAAGTGGATTTCCTCAAGATGGAAAGGGTCTTCAAAAGAACGAAGAACATATACCTGTTGTAGGCTGTCTAAAAATCACAATGGATAGCTGATCCCCACGAGATTACAAGGCAATGGTTCCTTCAAATCAAGAAGCAGAATTTATCCTTACAATCAAAACAGAAGAGATTTCTAAATCATTGCATTCGCGGCGTTATAATCGCTACAAACACGAAATCAAGTTTGAGATGATTGATCTTGATGGCTGCGATAACAACATGACTAATATTATATTAGCAACTATTAGAGATGCTGGTGAGCAGTGTAATGATTTCAGAAATAAAATGTTGGACTTAGTTGGTGAGTTACTTGGTAGAGAGCTATGGGCAAATATTCGTCTAAATATCACAATGGATAATTGATCCCCATCAAGTTCCAACAATGAAAGCTACAATCAGATAGCTTTCATGTCAACAAACGAAAGCTGCAAACGGAGGACTTTTCATATAGATCGAGAAGAGTTACAATTCAACGACACTTCCGATAACTGATAAAAACTCTATTCAGCAGTCTTCACAATCTACAGTGAAAGTTACAATCTGACGACTTTCACACTCCACAACAGCTAAAGCTAGGATTACTGAACAACAGTCCTTGTAACGCTCTGTAGAAGAAGTTACAGATCAACTAACCCCTTTTAAAATGCGGAAGTCATCCCCGTGTTATAATTCTGGAAATGCAGACGACCCCCGTGTTTACAAGCTACAACAAGTCAAACACGAACGACCCTCGCGTTCTTGAGGTTCAACCAACACCCGACCCCAGCGTTTCCAAGCTGCAACAAGCAAAACACGAGTGACCCTCGCGTTCATTGATGTTCAGTCAACACCCAACCTCGCGTCTCAATTCTAAGACGCGAAGTTGGGGTTCTGAACGTCAGATTGGGCATTTGACTCATTCAAATATAAGTCAAACGTTCTCAGAACTGTTTTCCCACGATCTGAGAAAATCACGCCCACTTGGGAGCGAATTTAGAGGACAGTTACAACCTCTTATCCACCTATAAAATCTTAACAAACTCAACCGAGTTAAGGGCTGGCTTTTTTGGAACGGAGAGGCAGCAGCAGAGAAGATTCTTCAGGATCTCAACCGCACAGAGAGGCAGGAGAGGCGGATTCATTGGAGATAGAAGATTTGAATCAAATTCAGAAGATCAAATCTAAGAGGATTCTTCAACAACAGAAGATTTGCTAGGTCATTAACCGAATTTTCGGTTATAACAACTCTCGTCACAGAGTTCTAACTTGTTCAGAGTTCTTAAACTCGTAAAAGAGTTACCCCATCAAACTTTCTACAGAAGTTCAACATTCCCACGAGATAAGACGATCGGATCGTCAACGGAGAGCAAATTCGACGCGAACAATCGAAAGAGGCATTCCATCGCTACCGAGAAGAACCCAGTTTTAAACAAAGGGGAGAACCAAATTCGTTCTCTTCTCTTTTGTAATCAAATTGTAACCAGGATCGAAGAAATACAAGTCAAATTTCTTTTATTCTCTTTATTGCAATTTTTCTAACATACACCTGTTTAGGATTTGATTAGGATAAAGGGAGTCCCAATCTAAAGAGAAAACAAAATGGTCTCTACATGAAAAAAGATTAGAGAAAACATCATAGAAAGTTTTATGTTTATCATCTTCAGAGAAGAGGATTCGGTCATCTACAATGAGATTGGGGATAAAGTTCTTCCTTTTATGAGAGGAAGCAGCTTTGCTAAAGAAAGAAGTGTTGTTGTCTCCTTCTTTTTGTCAAAGAATTAAGGACTTTGATTCCAATATATTTGCTCAGTTTTGGCTGAATCAACAAGGTCCGATTTGAGTTTGGTTCCAAAAGAAATATCTTCCTTTGAAAGGAGAGAGAGAGAGAGAGAGAGAGAGAGAGAGAGAGAGAGAGAGAGAGAGAGAGAGAGAGAGAGATTGTTGTCTCCTTCTTTTTGTCAAAGAATTAAGGACTTTGATTCCAATATATTTGCTCAGTTTTGGCTGAATCAACAAGGTCCGATTTGAGTTTGGTTCCAAAAGAAATATCTTCCTTTGAAAGGAGAGAGAGAGAGAGAGAGAGAGAGAGAGAGAGAGAGAGGATGGATGATAAAAGCTTTTTTCTCTAAGAGGACAGGGATCCAAAAAGTGTTTCTTCTACCATTTTATCCTTCTCTTGAGCAATTTAAGTTTGTTAGAGAAAGAGAATACATGATTCCCTAGACATGAGAAGAGTTTCCAACAATTAGAAATGAAAGGTTTGAAGGTTTTTGAAATTACCAAGCTCTTTCAAATCTGAAGATGGATTTAGGAATAGAACAACTTGAGTCCAAAATAATAGGGTTGTGGTCTAAACAATATGTGGGGAAGGCATACTGAATGAGAGAGGGGAAATGAGATTTAAAAGTCGGAGAGATAAAAAACCTATCCAACCTAGCAAAAGCAGGGTTCTCTCATATTAGACCATGTAAACTGACGATCACTTAAGGAAATATCCATGAGGGAGAGGGAGTAAATAAGGCATTGGAAATAGCTTATGTCACTTAAAGACCGAGTTCTGCCATTTCTTTCATTTGTACTTAGAGTCACGTTAAAATCACAAATAATGGCCTAGGTAAAGAAATAGTTGATTAATTCTCTTGATTTCCCACCAACAATCATCTCTTCTCTCTCACAAGGGGTATAGATAGAGGATACAATAAACTTCCAATTATAGAATTTGTGAAGAAGAACATCTGAAATAGAGAAGATACAAATGTAAGAATCGAGGCAGTCAAAAGGATTGTTATTTCATACTAGAAGCACACCACCTCTAGTATCAATAGAATAACAATATTTTTGATAAATGGCTTACTAATGCTAATAACAATAGGAGAAGTAGTTAAGAGAAAGAATTAAAAGGCTAAACAAAAATAAGTGTAAACTTTTGAACCTTAATTTTCATAATTGATAAAGGGCGTACTAATTCTAAATGACGATCAATTATCTTCAAAGATTGCAACTTTCTGTTGGACAAGTGATAATCAAGCTTAAATCATGAACTTTAATTAAGCCTCCCCAATAACTTTAAGGAGCTTGACAACCTAGAGGTGTAACTTTAATGAATACCTATGTGTAGTATTTGACAAGTTGCTCTACATTTTAAGTCAAAAGTCTAGTTGTTGTGATCACGAGGCCTAGCTAGCTAGCTACGTCATAGCTATGTTACCTCACTTTGATTCTAGATACATGTACGCACCAATTTCTCTATGGTTACATACTTACATGTATGCACCAATTTCTCTATGGTTTAATTAATTTGACACGTACATCTAGTATTAAACTAGGTTGATGGTAATATTATTTGGTGTTTCCAGGCACAAGGGGAGAGGAGTTGCATATTCCCAGAAGACCCAGGTCAGGTATGCTTCATTGGATCCCTGCCCCTTTAAACTCCTTACAAGCAAAAGTTAGCTTAAAGGAACAAAGTTCGAACTTTTTCAGACGTACTCTTGGGCTAAGCTTTTGAACACCAAAAGCAAGAATCATATTCCTTTGTTGATCAGTACGTAGAGTCATTAATTAGCAATGGTGACTATACTAATCACTCTATGATATTATATGCTTCTCTTGGAAGTTGTTGAATGACAATGTCATGAAAAGAAAAAGGTGCACCTAACCAGGTATAATAATACATTAGTCTACTCGAAACGAAATTTTCAACATTAATTTTTCATGTTTCATTTATATTTGAAAGGAATAGAAAACTACTTAATCTTATGAAAATTCTGAAAACTTGGTTTTGAATTGAAATTACATGGTTAAAACAAAATCAAATCATCCAACATTTTATTTCTATGTAGAGTTCAATTTATAGCGGATTTCTAATCCAGAAGTTCAAATTTTAAATTTTTGAATATATCACATTTGTATTTCAGAACTTTTGACGTTAAGTTGAATTTTTCTTTTTGGTATATAACTATATATAGGACGGTATTGATCAAGAGCCAAAGAAGGACTTGAGGAGTAGAGGACTATGCCTTGTTCCGGTGTCCTTCACTCTGCACGTTGGCAGTGAAAATGGCGCTGATTATTGGGCTCCTAATTTTGCTGGAGGATTCCGGTGATCAAGAACGTACCACCGGAGATAATGGCATGCTTGTAATTTAAATGTGGATATATAACATCACAAGCAGTCACCCTGACGAAAATATTTTGCTAATAGGCTGATTGCTCATGATGCTATATGTGCACTTAATTCTTGTTATAGGTTGCTAAGTTTGGTGATCAATTAGGACTGAAGGGCCCTTGCATGATGATGCAAGAATCAAACTCTCTTATATGCATGTGACTTGCGTCTAGCTAGTAAATTTGTAATTTGGCTAAATTGTATGTAAGTTATAGATGGTTCATCACTTCTTGAACCAATGAAAGGAAGTGACTTATCTCCTTGAATGTATACTTAACTACTACATATGTAATAATTATAGCTCTCCAAAAAGTAGGTATCATTTATGAGGCAATATTGGCATGCATAATGCTCCTGAATACTGAAGGAAAAATGATTTAAGGACCCAAAATATGGGACCAATGGAGGGGACAGGTGAGGTGTCCCCTCCCTATTGCATAATAAGTTGATCATGCCAACTCATTATGCAATAGGGAGGGGACACCTCACCTGTCCCCTCCCTTCGTCCCATATTTTGGGTCCTCCTAGCAGTACTCATACTGAAGTTACCATTGTCCGACTAATTATTACAATTGCCAATTGCCATGAGTATGACTTGTTTTCACCGTTGTTAGAAGGTTGAAATTTAAAAAAATAAATAAAAATTAAAAAATTAAAAAAATTAAAAAATTTTAAAAAAAGAAAAGAAAGAAAATTATGACTTTTTTTTCCATTTGGTTGATGAATGCTATCAAGTTCATTTAAGTGCATAGTTCACTTTTCTCTTGTTAAAGTAAGAGAGAGAAAGAGTCTTGGGTAAATTTTTCTTGAATTGAATATTGAGTGTGTACGTATAAATATACAAGTAGAGGAGGGTAAGGTTTATCCTCATAACCAATGTGGGACTAAACCCACTACTAACACAATATTATCAACAACCCTCCTCAAACTCATGTTGGATCAAACAAAGTGAGTTTACGTACAAGAAACTGGAATCGTTGAACGAGTAAGGCCTTTGTGAAGAAATCTGCAAGCTCGTCAGCGGATAAGATATGAGGAAGTAGAATTGTCTTGTCCTTGTAACTTGTTGACGGACAAAATGGGCGTCAATCTCAATTTGTTTGGTCCTCTCATAAAATACTAGATTATTAGCAATCTGAATGACACTCTTATTATCATAATAGAGAGGAGTAGGAGTCGTAACAGAAATACCGAAATCACCGATGAGACGACGAAGATGATCATAATCTCTTTAGCTGTTGTATACATTGCACGATACTCTGCCTCAGTGCTAAAAAAGCAATAACATCTTGTTTCTTACTCAGCTAGAAAATAAGAGAATCACCAAGAAATATATAATAACATATGGTAGACTGGTAGTGGGATCACCAGCCCAATCAGCATCAAAATATGCACAAATCTCTAACTTAGATGTAGCAGGAAACAGAAGAGAGCGAGTGCTAGTACCTTGGAGATACCGAAGAATCCGTAATAAGGCAGCATAATGTACAAAACATGGGGCACTAACAAATTAACTGATAATACCAACAACATGAGAGATATCTGGTCAAGAGATGCACAGATAGATCAACTGGCTAATAAGATGTCGGTATCGGGTAGGATCAGATAGAGGCTCACCATCAGTAGAGCGAAGTTTAACATTTTGTTAGAGTGGAGTATCGACAGTTGCATCGTTAGTTAGCTCAGCACGATCTAGAATATCTGAGAGATACTTCTGTTGAGACAATAGTATACCCTGTGGGTCCTGAGAAATTTCTAGACCAAGAAAATAGTGAAGAGATCCAAGATCCTTCATGTGAAACTTATTGTAATTAAGATTTTGTGAACTGTATACCAGCAGCATCATCACCTGTAATGATCATATCGTCTACATAAAGGAGTAATAAAACTATACTACGCGATGTAATGCGAACAAACAAAGAAGCATTTTGATGACTCTCCATAAAGCCCATCTTGAGCACGACATCGTGAAAACACTTAAACCAAGCGTGGGGTGCATGTTTGAGACCATAAATAGCACGACGAAGGAGATATACGTGTCCCGGAGGAATATTGGACCCTGGAGACGGTTGCATATAGACGAGACCAAGTGTTAGATGACCAGATGGATCATTTTGTGGGGGTAATAGAGCCATACTAAGTGATAGACAATAGTTGTCCAGCAGCTGTGTAGATAGGGGGAAGAGAAGATGAAGTAAAGGCAAAGGATAAAAGTGAGGCATTACAATTCATATGAAAGAAACAGCCAGAGTCAAAAATCCAGAGATCATTCATACCAGAGACCGAATGGTTAGCTGAAGAACCATCAACATACATACCAGAGAGTTGTGCATCGGATGTAGAGGTGATATGCTGAAAAGCATCAAGTTGACGATGAAGACCTTCAATAGCTTGAATAGTAGAGTCTGAAGTGATAGAAGGTATATCATTAGCCAGCAATCCTGGTGTACGAGAAGGTTGAGACTGAGGGGGTTGCCGACCACGACCAGTATCTGAGGAACGTAACTCAGGATGAAGCTTGAAGTATGTCTTAATGTGGTATCCTTCTTTCTTGCAATATTTACAGGAGAGCTTAGATCGAGCCTATTGAGAGGGAGCATGTTGAGAAGTATGATTCATAGCAAGAGCAATGACAGGTACAGACGGAGCAGTCTAGAGTGAAGAGGTAGGAGTGTCTGTTGACAAATTGAGTCATGGTGTCTGCTACCGGGTCTCATAAGCAGTGAGAACTCTCATAACTGAGGCCAAAATCAAAAACTGAGGCTAATGAAGTAGTTGATCAGTCATAGTTGAATATTCAGGAAGGGACTGAAACAGTTGATGCATCTCATGCCGCTCGAACCAGGCTAGCCAGTCTTCATATGTGGAATCACGTCGAGGAAGCATATAGCGTAATTTTTTCCAAAAATATTGCATTTGTCCAAAATGAGACTATAGAGAGGAACTACCTTTGCATTGTAGAGCAACACGTTACAGAAGATATACGTCTCGTGCACCAGAACACTCAGTGAAACGCTCAGTGAGGCAAATCCATATGGCCCGAGCAGAGGGAAGCGAACCAATTTCAATAGTGAGACTGAAGCCAACACAGCGAGTGAGATAATCAATGACACGGAATTCCTGTAACTGCCAGTCTGAACTCTCCTTGACATAGAGAGCACGAGCTGTCTGAAGATTGACATCACCACTGTCAGATATAACAGTACTGGATGAAGCAATAATGTTGATGGGCGGTGGAACGGGTCCCGTACTGGTGAGATGATCAAGCAGACCAACGCCACGCAAGGTATTGGTGACAATGGTGGACCACCCTGTCCAGTCACTTTGATCATTGAGGGGCAGGGGTGGTTTAGGAATCTTCTCTGAATGAGCCATAACAGCAAATCGAAGTTCAAGATAATAAATTTTGAACGAAAAAACCTAAAGGTTAGAATGAAATCCGAAGGTTATATATATATATTATATAAATCTCAACAAAATCTCCAATTAAATCGCTCTCAATTAGCGAAGATCGTATCAAAAAATCGCGACGACAATTTGGGGACAGAGATCGCGGAGGCCAATCAAATCTCCGGCGGCGAAGATTGCGAGATTGAGCAGATCTCCACCGAGATCTGCAATAGTGGTAGCTGCAGACTCGTCAACAGTGGCAGCGGCCGAGATCTCCTGCGATGACTGAGATCGACGACTTAAAAGGAAAATTTTTATTTATTTGAAAAAAACTTATTATTTGGGAAACTCTAAACTAAGCTCTGATATCATGTTAAAGTAAGAGAGAGAGAGAGAGTCTCTTGGGTAAATTTCCCTTGACTTGAATATTGAGTGTGTACATATATATATACAAGTAGAGTTAGGATGAGGTTTGTCCTCATAACCAATGTGGGACTAAACCCACTACTAACACAATACTATCAACATCTCTAGAGTTCTTTATGTAATGCACTTAATGATAAAGGTGCAGAGATCACATAGAATGACCAATTTGCTTCTTATTTCAAATTGACACCAAGATGGCAAAGATTTTGATTACAATCTCAATGAATATATCTCAGATGAACCCTCAAAATTAATAAAAAGAAAGATTAATATATAAACTTACTCCTTCGGGTCATCTTGTGGTTTGTCAAATATTATTGTCAAATTAATCCAAGTTTTTCGGATCCAGTATCGGTCCATATAGTTGGGTATTTGGTTATACATATGTTAAAGGTCCGACAGACGTTCCTTCTCACCAATGTCATAATTGTTCAATAAATACATTCATTTATAATTTACGGTTTTTCTATAGAGTGCTCATGGGCACTTTATAAGAGATGGGAGAGATAGAGAGAAATGAATAGCTCATGAGCTCCCTTAATTTGCATTAATTTATGTGTATAATTTATTTCTCTCTATCTCTCTCCTCTCTTATAGAGTACCGACACTCTATAGAAAAACCGTATAATTTAATATCACGCTCTTTCGAGAAAAACTGCATTCATTTCCATTAGATATACTTTAATAACTAATATTATTAAAAGATACATGATTAACATTGAAGCGCCTTATGCAATAAGAAATGCCGACAGACAATCACAAACCTCCTAATCCTCACGAGATTCTAATAAGAGAAGAACAAACCTGCATCCTAACTCGGATCCGGTTCTCAAAGTTGAACCCGCCAAATCCTCCTTCAACGATGGCCGTCGGATTCCGGTCAGACGATTCTCCTTCCTCGGACGCTCTCTTCACGCCTCTCCTCCAAATCTCCCCTCTCCTCCTCATTCCCCCTCCTCCGTCACCAAATCCAAACGCCTCCGATCCCGCAGCCGTCTCCGCCCTCACTCCCACCCCAACCCCTCCCCCACCCGCGCATTCATCGCCTAATGCGTCCAGTGCGCCGTCGGCATACCTGACGCCGCACTCTCCTCTTTGGGGTCCTGCCACGCCGTGACGGGACTATTATCCTCTCGGAACAAATCGGCAGCAGGAGTCGTCGGGGATGTGGTCGAGATCAACGGGCCGATTGCTATCATCTCAATCTCGTCCAAGCTCGCGAGCACGCTCGATTCGAGATCCCCGAACGTGTTGACGAGCACCTTCGGCTTAGTTCCAGCCGATATTTGTTGACTGAGCCTTCGAAACTCTTCTTGAAGCAGAGCGAACATGAAGGACGAGACTCCACTTTTCGAACCGTTTTCATCGGTGAGTAAAGAAGGCAAATCTCGTTCCTCTAACCGTGGTAAGCCGGGAACCTCTAACGAGGACGAAACCGTTGAAGTTCCGACACAGAAGTAACGGTAATACACGGCAAACACAGCCGCGGGCTGAATCCAAAACAAAACGAGGAAT